TGAAGGAAAGGAACAGTTCTCAAGTTCCAGCATATTTTACAGGTACCCTTTTAGAATCCCAAATGGAAAGGATTCTTGCTAGGGTTGCACCAGTAATAAGTTGTATAAGTAGGGGGTAATAGAGTGTGTCTCAGGGAAGGGGTGAAACTTGGTTTGATCTAGGTGATAAGTGAGGTTGCCAGTGGGTATGGGGATAAAGGGGCAAGAGTTCTGAGTTTCCCCAGAGCTTTTAATCCACAAAAGAAGTTAAGACTAGATTGAAGGCCTGCCCTGACAGAAAAGAGAGTACAGGTTTTGGGTGTGGGGCCTAGTGAGAGTGGGGGAAAGCTATAGTAGCCTGTCTGGATAAAGCCTGGGATAGTTCCACGTAGGGTTAAAATGGAAGGGGCAATGGTAAGAGTGACATTACCTAATCTTGGGCTGAGAGTTTCTACTGGTGTCCCTTGGGGCTGGACTCTTTGAAGGCAGAGGAGAGCCTGGGAGGGAAGAGAGATTACCTTGACTATGGGTCCCTCCATAGCCCTTTGGAGGAGTTTAGGGGTTCTAAGTCTTGGGTATACTGCCTGAGAAGGTTGTTAGCCTCTCTTTGATATTCAGTGGGGAATGATTTATATCAAGTGATTGCGTGAGAAGACAAAGCTCTCCCTTTATAAACAGAGTACTTAAAGGAGGAAAACGTAGACACCGAAGTTTGAGGCAAGACAGGTATAGTTGAATAAGAAGTGAGGGATATGTAAACAGATCTGACAACTGGATGGCAACACAGGGTGAGACTTTTTGAGCATGCAGTGGGCTAAAGTAAGGGAACTGTTTAGATAAGTGGGTAAAGAGGGGACAGCTAAAACTTGGTTCATTAGGAGGGGAAGATAAGAAGGAGAGGGAGAACAGGAGGTGTTTGGGTAAAAAAAAGGCTTACGATGTTTTCCCGTGTATGACTGGAAAAGGATCCTTGGAAGAATTCCTCAAAGAGGAATCCAAGGACTGCTCTTCAGAGGTGCTGGGACAGGAAATGGAGGAGGGAAATGACCTGTCTGGACAGGAGTCTGGAGAAGGTGAAGAAGGTAATTCATTGTGGTTTATGGTTCCTCAGGGATTATCTGGAGGGAGGTGGGGTCTGTTAAAGTGGAGCTATATCCAAACATTGGGATGGGATAAGGTTTTATTTTGGAGATGTGGAACGAGGTTAGGGGAAACTCAGTTAGTTTAATGGCCATAGGGGTGATAATAAGGACAGTATATGGCCCTTTCCATGATGGGGAGAGCCCCTTTGGGGCACTTGGAGAGCTTTTAAGAGAACTTTGTCTCTGGTTTTAGGTGAGGTGGTTGTTTCTCCTGGCTGGAGGTGGAGTAAGGTAAGGTCAGCATGCTTCTGGAGAACATTTCCTAAAGTGTTAAGAGTTGAGAGATAGTCCCCAAGTAATGAGGAAGGCTGTGGCAGGATTTCTAACATTAAAGAGCAGCCAGACATTAGTTCAAAAGGACTTAGAAGGCAAAGTTTTCTGGCTAGAGCTCTTAAGCTTGTTAAAGCTAAAGGGAGAAGTTGGTACCAAGGAAGGTGAATTTCAGTTGTAAGTTCAGTTAGATGTAATTTTAGGAGGTGGTTAGTGCTCTTTCCATTTCCAGGGGATTGAGTGTGGTAGGGAATCTTCATTGCTGTGAAGATTCCAAGCAATGACTAGGCCATTAGACACCTTTTGAGTTATTTGAGATGTGAAAGCAGGCCCATTATCTGACCCAAGGGAGGTAGGAATGCCAAAGCAGGGAACTGTTACTGTCAGTAAAATCAGGACTGTGTCTCCAGCTTTCTCTGGAGTGAGAAAAAAAGGCTTCCATCCATCCTAAAAAGAAGTCTACGTGAGTGAGATAGGTTTTTATCTTTTTTACAGGGAACATGTGGGTGTAATCTATTTGCCAGTCTTGGCCTGGGAGATGGCCTCTAGCCTGATGTAGTTGGGAGAGGGAAGAGATTGAGACCTCCTTGTGGGGAGGTGGGAGCACAGATGGTACATGAGGAGGAGATTTGTTTTAGAAGAGAGTGGAGAATAGGGTACAGAATTAGAGGTCAAAAAAAGGTTTCAAAGGGTTTTAGTCCTACATGAAATACATTGTGAAGTTGTGTAAGGATTTGTGTGATTTGGGCTGCAGGGAGAAGTTACTTTTCTCCCATGAACCATCCTTGATTTTTAGGGAGGTGTTTTATGGTATAATCAGCTGCTTCCTCTGAAGAGCACTGAGGCATGAACAATGGGAAATGTGGGAGAGAAGGTTGGGGGCAGATTGGGTGAGGGCAACATAATGTGCTACAGAATCAGCGTAATTGTTGCCCTAAGCGATATGGTCAGATGGAGATCAGTGACCTTTCCAGTGAATGACTGCAACCTGGGTGGGCTGCAGGGGTGCCTGGAGGAGTTCATGTATTTGAGGGGTATTAGTTATGGGGAGGCCCAATGTAGTGAGAAAACATGTATCAGCGCAGATAGCAGAATGATGGTGTAAGATGTAATAAGCCTATATTGAATCCATGCATATATTGGTTGTGGTTGGCTTTTTTCCCAGCAAGTTGTAAGGCTCAGGTGAGGGATAAAAGTTCTGCTTTATGGGAGGAAGTTCGTAGGAACGAAGTTCCAGGTAGGTCACACCCAAATCCCTCCCTGAGAGATTTGTTCTCAATGGTGGTGGAGGGAAGGGAGATGATGGCATAGGCTGAGGGTCTCTGGCCTTTGTGTAGGAGTGAACTGCCATCAATGAACCAGGTGTGGAGTGGATTTGGAATCAGGGTGTCTGATATATTAGCATAAAAGTTCTGGACATGTATAATGGCTTCCTCACATGGATGTATGGGTTCTGAGTGTGGTAATGGAAATAAAAAGGCTGGGCCGAAAACAAAAAATGAAAAATGAAACTGTTTGGGATCCTGTACTGGGAGCACAGCACTAGGCTAAGACTCCGGAGTTAAGGCACAAAGGAACAAAAGAATCAATGAAGAAATGAAATGGGGGGATATAAGGACCTAAGAGGCCTGGAGCAAGTAAGAGTTTAGCTTAGAGGGATGCTGTTTGAAGTTATTTAGAAATATTAGTCATATTTAAATAGTAGGTGGGGAAAAATCCTCTTGGTCTCTCTGACAGGCTGCTCAGCAGAATCTGATCTGGGTACAACTGGAATCAGGACTCAGAAACTGGGATTACTAAGGCAGGTGGAAGCAAGATAGAGCTAGGCTGCCAGACAGCAAATCTGCCACTAGATACTACTGGAAATCACAGCACCATATGAAGGGTGTAAACAATTGAGCCTAGAGATAAAACCAGAGTAAGTCAAGTTTAGGTCAGCATTATTGAAAGAAGGGCATGGCCCTCCTGGACAGAGCAAGGATGGTGTTTGCACCTGAGGGCAGTTAGAGACACTTTTATATGGGACTCTAGACAGGGGCACATTCCACAGGTTGCCTGTTAGGTTAGGATCTTTTGGTACAAACTTCTTGGGGGGTGTGTGGCTAGCCAGATCCTCTGTGTCTTTGTTTTAGGAAAAGAGAACGACCAGGGGTAAAGGGTTTATGTGTGGCTGCATTAGGCCCCCAACATCAATCATAGATGACACCTCATAAAACTTTTCCTGTCCCTATAGTCACACCCTCCCTGTAGGGAGGCTATAGACAAGGATGGTCAGATATCTCACCAGTTCACTTTGGACACTGAGGTCCTAGGGAAGTGGTGGTCTGATGGCAGCAGCTTTAGATACACAGTGGATGGGGTGCACAGGAAGGGCCAGGGGTCTCTATGGAGACAGAGAAGAAGGTCCGAAAGGAGTCCATTCTAGGATATATTGTCACCAAAGAGCCCTGATAGCTTTCTCAGCCCAGTAAACCCTGGGCAGGAATCCCATGACAAGTTGCCCACTCTCTTCCTGCTTGAGGGCCCTGGTTCTGTGTGCCCATGTCACATCAGGTCAGCAGACAAAGGAGGCCAGGACCTGTTAAGAGTCACAGGAAGGATTCTCAATAAAATACACAAAGTCCACCCACACCAGAACAGAGGAACTCCCATGGTGTCTTGCCCTTTTTGTTAGAACCATGAAGCAGCAATGTCTGAGAATGAGTAGTGTCCTAAGTCACATCCTTCTCAGGTGATTGCAGAAGAGGTTTTCATGAAAGCACAGTATGTGGCATTAGTTAAAAGAGTAGTAAGGCCCCAGACCTAGCCAGGTCAAGAAGCCTGAATGAAAACTGCGGAGGTACACACCCCAGAAAAATCTGGATCATAAAATTCCATCTCTGCTTTCTTATCAGCCCTGAGAGAGTATGGATAAACCTGTTAGATGGAGGTGACACCTCACCACTATCTCCAGAGTGACAAAAAGATGGAGACTTTGGACTTAGGGGACAAAGTTAAGTTAGAAAAAAGAAAGAATCCCTGTGCTTGCCTAGATCTCATGTGAGCAACCTGAGTGAGAACCCAGGGGACTGAGCACACCAGTATCACATGGAATCTCGCTCCTCCTGCCATCCCTGGGAAACGATAGCTTGGGTAGCTCCAGGAGGGAACTCCACACTTCCTCTTCAGTTATCTTAGGAGATGTAATTGGTTCTGGGAGGTTGGCCTCATAGCAGCCCAGGAGAGGTGACATAGGCTCTAGTTGATGCCAAGAAAGTGGCACTTCTAGTCCTAAATTGATAGTACTACCTTCCTCAGAACAGAGGTGGCTCTACAGAGCCCAATAACAGCTGTCCACTGTGAGTCCGAGTATCTGGTGTTAAGTTCTTTGGCTGCACCCTGAGGAGGATTCTTACTTCCTCCTTCAGGTGCCTGGGGACACAGAAAATTCACAAGAGACTATAATACTGTTGTCAGGAAAATTCCATTGGCAGTAGCTTCCATCAGAGACACTATAGTTGATTTACCAACTGAGGACACTCACATCTTCCCTCTCTCCCTTAGGCAGTGACCCTGCACTATCTACCTTCCTTTGCTCACTCCTGCCTTCTTCCACCAGCAAGAGACATCATGTCTCGGGATCAGAAGATACCACAGTGCACACCTGATCAGCACCTTCAGACCCAGAGTGAGACCCAAGGCCTGGAGAGTGCACAGGTCCCCAAACCTATGGAGGAAGCCTTGCCCTCCTCCTCCCTCCTGCCGATGTCAGACAACCTGAAGGAGGCTCCTGCTGCCAAGGTGCTGAGTGCTCCTGAGGGTCCTCAGAGTTTCTGCTCCTCTTCAGGTGACAACACTGCCACCTCATCAAGCAAACCTGATGACGACTCCAGTAGCAAAGAAGAGAAAAAAAGTCTGAGCACCTCAGAAGCTACAGAAAACCCTGAGAATACGCTCATAGATGCTCTAGAGAAGAAAGTGGCTTTTCTGGTGAATTTCCTGCTGCTGAAATATCGAATGGAGGCGCTAGTAACAAAGGCAGATATATTGAATATTATCATCAAAGATGATGAAGAGCACTTCTCTGAGATTTTCCTGAGAGCCTCTGAGCGCATGGAGATGATCTTTGGCCTTGATGTGAAGGAAGTGGATCCCACTAGCCACTGCTATGCCATCTACATCAAACTGGGTCTCACCTATGATGGGAAGCTGTGTCCTCCAGAGGGCTTGCCCAAGACTGGCCTGCTGATCCTTATGCTGGGTGTGATCTTCATGAATGACAACTGTGTCTCTGAAGAGGAAGTCTGGAGAGTGCTTAACATAACAGGAATATTTTCTGATCAGAAGCACTTCATCTTTGGGGATCCCAAAGAATTCATCACCAAAGATTTGGTGAAGGAAAAGTACCTGGAGTACCGCCAGGTGGCCGACAGTGATCCTGCACAATATGAATTCCTTTGGGGCCCAAGAGCCCATGCTGAAGTCAGAAAGATGGAAATCCTGGAGTTTCTGGCCAAGGTTCATGGGACTGACCCAAAGTCTTACCCATCTCAGTATGAGGATGCTCTGCGAAATGAAGAAGAGAGAGCTCAAGGTAGAATCTCAGTCAGTGCTGCCTCTACCTCCATGGCCACTGAGAGTTCCAGTGCCATGTCTGACAGCATCTCTCACACCTAGTGAAGTCAGGGACACCTTCTTCATGTATCTGAGGAGGGCACTTAGTGTTCAAGGAATGTAAGTCAAGCTGAGGGATAACAATATTTGTCATCTATATGTTCCTATTTTGTATGTATAAGTTGACAATGTATTCTTTTAATTTTTGATGAGCATGTTATGCAAGTGTTATTTCTTTTAATATAAGTTTAACTATCTTCCATATATTCATATTCAAATAATATTGGTCACACATTGAATGCTATTGATGACATTTAATAGTAAGATCTTTCCTCCTCCTGTAAAACCATACATTTTACTTTGTGATGTGGAGTAAGGTAGCATGGCATTTCTATAGGCATTTCCTCTGAAATATGGAAGAACTCAGCTTTAAAATGATTGGGATCAATTGTGAGAACTAGAAAAAACATAATCAGTTTTGCTTTTTATCTTCTCTTTTTTCTGTAAAATTATATAATATTTCCTTCAATTTACTTAGCTCTTCCCAGAGCGTATATGTAATAAATATTTATAAATGAGATCCCATGCTTACTGGTTTATTTATCCCCCAAACCTGCGTGGAACACTTACCCTCTGGAAAGGATTTCAGTGGGACTGGGGATACTGGGATTAATGCTTTGGGACCTACTCATATAAATTTAACACAGGACCTATAATCTTATAAGAATTGCAGTAGAATTATCCAACACCTAAATTTCATTTAAAAGAAGGTAGAATGAGCTTGAGATGGGCAGTTCACACGAGCCAATGAAGCAAGTGTAATTTATGCCTTGAAGCGTGGAAATTTGTTGATTTTGAAAACTAAATGTTTTAGTGGAAGTTAATTTTACATTAAGCTAGGTAGTGTGCAAGGTGAGGCTAAGGACATTGTGAACAGGGACCAGACCCTCAAATAGTGTATGTCAGCTTTGAAACCCAAAAACCTATAGTGGAAAACTCTTGTTATCTATTACATTTAGGTCATGGATAAACTGGAGAGAGATTCTCACCTGTGACAGGAATGGAAGGTATCCTTCATTCCTGTCTCAATGCTGTCAAATGCAGGGTACAAAGTGTTCTATACATATCATGTTCAAAGAGTTTATGAGAAGAAATATGATACTCTTTTGAGATTATATACCTGGAATCTACTGTGGGGCACTCTGCCATGTCGTAGAAAAGCTAGTGCCCACTTCATTCACAGGAAAACATAAATAGATTATCTTTAGTATAATTTGGCAAACAATAAGCAAGGGCCAAATTTGGGGTTTGGGAATAATAAATAAAAAGGGGAGGGGATGTTGGATATATGTAGAAGGGCAGCTGACACAAAGGGAGGAATTGCTCCTAGATACAAATTCTAGGAAATCTGCATTACATTAGCTTCAGAAAATCCCCCCACATCAAATTAAATAACAATCCCCAAGGCAAAAATTTTACTTGCTGTAGAACAGTTTTGTATGATTTGCTATTTCAAGTCCCACAGCATTCTGTTTTCTATGAAAGCCTGGATTTAGAAAATCCGTACACATATACACAAGCACATGGGGAAGGATGGGAGGGTTTGGGATCAACATAGTCATGACAATTAACTGCTAACTTGCTGAGATCCTAAGATACGTCAAGCATTGTGTTGTGTGATGTATATACTTTAAAAACTTTCCAATACTCAGGCTCAGACTTCTGGTGATTGTGTCCATTTTCAAATGTACAGTATATGACAACTGGGGCTAGGTCACTTCCTTGAATTTATCTGCAGCTCACTCTGTTCTACTCTTCCCAACCTAAGTCAAACCTTTCTCCTCTTTATTTCTCTTCTCACTATGCTTAAAGCCTCTCAGGATACGTGTGGAAGGATGTTGTAGCCAATGAACTTAGGTATAAAGAAGGAAGGTTGAAATAAGATTTAAGCATCCTTGAGGAGGGTCAGTGGGTTTCATTTAACTGGATCCCTGCTTGCTGTAACCCCAGTGTTCCTTCAGAGCTGACTCTGTGCTGGGGCTGGCATTTTCATCTAGCTCAAACTTTCTGTGTGTTACAGCACCCGTCCCCTAAGTCTGCTCCAGTGTGCCCTCTTGTCCAAACTGGAACTTCACCTGCTGTCCTTCATGATAACCCTTCTCTGAAGGCTGCACCTGAATTCAAGTGAAAAAAAAAAAAAAAACAGGGCATAATCACCTGCCTTACCATAGACTTAGATCATTCCAAATTCTTATCAATCTTACCCATCAATCACCATGGTAGTCCTCTCATAGCAATATTCTGTTCCATATAGAAGGTGATTTTGACAGTGAAATATAGACCTGACTGCCCAACTGGATGTCTCTGCCATATGGTCAAAGTGTTTTCCTAAAGAACTGAGTATAATCCCATTTGGCATAATTATCTACTAGTTTAGCAGATAGAACCCTGAAGTTGGAGAAGAGGTTGTAAATCCGCCAAAATCTTTATAGTAGAATTTGAATAAGTTGTTGCAATTGAGACCAACAAATGAATGCATAGACCTGTGAGTGAGCTTACCCAGGTGGTCAATAACTTCTCATCAAACCAAATATCGTGGAAGTCTTTGTGTAGCAAATATCTACTGAGGATTGATTTCCTAAAATGCCTAGAATCCTTCTAGGATGTACAATGTGGTTCATTGGCAGGCATGTTATCTTTGGTTGGCAAAGATAAAAATAATTCAATATCCTCCCACTGCCTCTTATTTCTCTGCTTGCCCCCCAAGAAAGCTCTGGTTTTCCCTTGTGTCTACTGGCATTTGTATAAATTTTCAGGCAAGTTCAGTCATTTTTGAAGGTAGTAAGACTTCACAGATTTAGATCATGCAACAAAAGGAAGAAGAAAATTCTCATTCTATTATAATATTACAGGCTGTTGCATAGGTCAGTATGGAAAGATACTATGGAATTAAAAAGGCAAAGCCTCCATGCTGAGATTTTATTGGGTGTTCAAGAAAAAAAAAAAAAAAACAACTGCTGTGAGCCTGTGTTTGGCAGCAACTGTTCCACATAGAGGTATCTAATATAGCATCTCAAAGAATTTGGAGAATTTCAAGGAAATTTGGCATCCTGGAAAACTGCCAGGAAATGAAGAGGGTGATTATCATAAATAGTCTACCATTTATTCTCTGTGAGTACCAATTATGTAACAATTTATGGGAGAGATTACAAGAGCTCATCCACATCTTGTCCTCATCTCCTTCCTGGATTCATGATGAGACTACCTTACTAAGTGCCCTTCTAGTTGTAAAAAATCATGTGACCCACAGCTTGAATTTATCTTAGAAATGAAAGCAATGAGGGTAAATATTTGTACCCTCATCTTAATCTGAAATTATAAAAATTTAAACAATCATGTGACTAACATTGGCCATTGCTATACATATATGAGTCGATGTAATATTTGTAATTTCCACGCCAAGAGAGTTGATATCCAGTTTGCAACCTTCCATGATTTTTCTTCCACTCAGCAACTATCCTGAAGATCATGTGTTTCTAAGGTGAAACTGCAAAAAAAAAAAAAAAAGCAGCACAGACCCCTGTATTGCCTGTCAGCCACATGACTATTTATTTAATTATTTCTGTGAGTTGGATAAATCCAGTCCTTGGTACTCCATCTTCCCTAGAGGTTGAAGTTGTGTACTTCATAAGTAAATCTAAATTATTACACCATGCAAATGACTCAAAAGAACAAGCCAACATTTCAAATGCACTACAATTAAAATTAAGTTGGAAAAACTGTGAGAAACACAAAAATACATATAATGTTGACCTTTTGATAATTTTATACAAATGAGATTATATAGTAGGTAAGGTTGACTTTGATGATTCACCTCTTTTCCCTCAGCATAATGATGCATGGGTCATTCATCTGTCATTTGTTTTGTTGTTGTTTGTTTCCTGCTCCTATGCGCCTTTAGTAAACTGAACTATTTGTTCACTCTGTGTTGCCTGTGGCTCTTGTTCCCAAAATGTGCTAAGGCTGAGGCTGAGGCAGGCACTGGGGAGGACTAGCCCAGTCCTTTCATCCCAGTCACCAGCCTGCCTCCATGCTGAGTCCACAGGATGACTGTGGAGCTTCACACCTGTCAGGAACAAAGTGATGAGGCTTTTCTGCAAAGGACCTAGGCCTGGTGTTTATTTGGTGGCACACTGTGGATTGGCAGGGGAACAGCTGGGTGAGGCTGGCAGGAGAGTGTTCCTGGCTCCCTGCAGAGCTTCTGACAGGGGACAGCACCCCAAAGCCAACAGCCATACCTGGATGTCTGTACCTGGCGATTAGTACTAAGCTACTGTAGGAGGGCACCTGCAAGCCATGTGGAGCTGGGGATGGGGCAGATGCAGCACCTGCCACTGGCACTAGAGCCAATGGCTACACAGGGTCTGGGAGCTGCAGGTGGGGGAACCCACGTCAGAGTAGCTTCCAGGGAGCACAGTCCTGGCCTAGCTCTGCAGGAATCAAAGTGGGGGAAGGGATGGTAGGGATTGGGCCCTGAGATGTAGGTCAGGAGCTCTCAGCCTGGCAGCGCCCTTAAGCAGCACCTGAGAATTTGACTCTAGCCAGATAAGGAAGCCTTTCCAGGTCAAGTGACCAATGAGAAGCCCCTAAAAATTTAGGCTGGTCCAGAGGGTCTCTCAGGTACCCCTTCTAAGGGGAAAAGGAAATATATTCCACAGTCCATAATCAGCTGGGGGCTCAGGCCCCTAGGTCTGATGGCTGCTCTCTGAACTCAGTTCCTCAATAGATCCCAGGAGGGCCCACAGGTTCATTTGAACTAGGGTCCTGTCTGGGGGCCATGTTCATCCCCTCCTAACCCTCCAGGAGTGGCCAGGAGTGGCCAGGAAAGGCACCACTCAGACTCATTAGACACAAGTTAGATTTTTCCTATAGGACCCAGGGATACCCTGGTGGCATCCCAACCACCTCTCCCAGGCCCCACACATCTCTAATATCTGTCTAATTTGACTTTTATCATTAAAGGCCATTTCAAGGTCCTCAGGTCAGAACCTGCATCCCTGGCA